TTGGAGTGTTTTGTTTCTTTTCTTAAAATTTGGAAATCTGTTGAGATAGGAAAAATTACCAGACACAGAAAATTCTTTCAAAAAACAAACCTAGGTTTCTTTCCAAATTTTTGCTAGAATTCTACTTCTAACTTCATGACACCCAGGAAGAGGCTAGATCAAAGATACTTAATAAATGTTTTCTGATGGTAGTGAAGTCATTAACTATTGTTACTTTATGTAAAAAATTGTATTACTAGTATCTTTCACATTAGTCTTTATTACACAAATATGTCTTGAATTTCTCCTTATGCCATGCCAGGGATATAATGAAGAAATCAGGCACAGCTTCACTTCTATGATTTTAATTCATTTAATTTCATATATTCATGTAGTTTCATATATTCCTATAATTTCATATATTTATAATTCTATGAGAGCAGAAAGAAAAAAACCTGTAAACAAGCACATTTTTAAAATTGCCAATTATAATATGTGTAATAAGAACCAAGATGGAGATCAACAGCAGAAAACTTGGAATGTTTTTAATCATCCAACCAAAGCAGAAACATAACATATGTAATGCTGTAGTTTTTACAAGATGACTTGGTCTATTTCATTGTTTCGTTGTTAATATCAGTACTGTGTAAGGAACCTCAGGGAGAAATTGAATTTGGTTTGAAGAAACCTGTCCCATTAGGTCTTTTAATCTGGCAAGTTTATAGCTTGTGATCATCTGTTTAATTAAATGTCCTGGTTCAGGAATCAGAAGTTATCAGGAGAGATTAAGATGATGCTAATAGGAAAGCTGTTCACTAATTGTCTTTGCTGAACACAGCGGTGAGTATGACAGAGACAAGGCAACTGCTGGCAATGAAAAGAAAGCAGATAAGGGGAGGCTGGGCTGGAGGGAGTGATACCCATTCTGGGCTCCGCGTGCCACGTGCTAAGGGTTGTTGACAGACAGGAGCCTGCCCAAATGGCTGTCACTAGCTACTGGATTTATTTACCACTTCCATTCACATTATCTTGCTCTAGGAGGTGGTCTTCAGACTTCCTAGGAACAGACAAAGACTAGGAACTTTGTCTCACTCACAGCCGTAATCTGGGTCCAGGCTTATTGCCTAACCTATTATTATAGGTGTTCAGTAAATACCTGGGCAAAGTCAATGAAAATGTCTGCAGCAACTGTGACTTACCCTTCATCCCTTTTACCCACCCCCAAGACTGGACTCTCAATTTCCTTCTTTCTCAGCTTCCCTCACAAAAGACGGTCCTTCGGCTCGGCACCTGTGGCTCAAGTGGCTAAGGCGCCAGCCACATACACTCAAGGTGGTAGGTTTGAATCCAGCCCTGGCCTGGCAAACAACACTGACGGCTGCAACCAAAAAATAGCTGGGCGTTGTGGCGGGTGCCTGTGGTCCCAGCTATCTGGGAGGCTGAGGCAGGAGACTCGCTTGAGCCCAGGAGTTGGAGGTTGCTGTGAGCTGTGATGCCACAGCACTCTACCTAGGGGGTTCAGCTTGAGGCTCCTGTCTCAAACAAACAAATAAATAAATAAATAAATAAATAAAATAAGACTGTCCTTGAAATGTGAGACACAATCATAGAGATCTATATCTAGTTAGATGTCAAGAATTAAGGAGCTGGATAGTGGGCTGGCATACTGAACTGAGATGGGGAATCAAGTGGCCCCACATCACCTACTTGTACCCCAAGCCTAGAATTTTGTAAAATAAGAGTATCAGTGTGCAGAAGATCCTGGAGGGTATCTTGTCACCCGACAAATGAGGAAACTGAGGCCCAGAGTGGGAAGACAACTTGAGGCTTGTCAGTGAAGGAACTGGGCAAGATCCCAGCTTGGTCTGAACTTTAAATAAGAAACATGACTTGGGTGGCACCTGTGGCTCAAAGGAGTAGGGCACCGGCCCTATATGCCAGAGGTGGTGGGTTCAAACCTAGCCCTGGCCAAAAAAAAAATTAAAAAGGCACACTATTTTCAAATTTTGTGTACCTGTGGGGACCTAGAGGCCCAAGTCAAGGTGGGAAGGAAAGAAGCTCAGTGCACATGTTCCTTCCCACCTGCTCTACTCGACAGAGCATCTCTGCTTCTATCTGGTTTGTGAACTTGAGCTCCCTATGACAGAATATTCCAGGGCATGCTCCTCTGCTAGCACAAAATTTGAAAATCCAACACATTACATGATCTTTAAGTCATTTCTGCTTAAAAAAACAATTTATGACCTACTATTTCTTGAATTAAGCTTTCATTTATTTAGTTCTCTCTCACACACACACATAAAAAAAATTGCTTTAGTGGCCAGGAAAACAAAACAAAACAGCATACAATTCTTCTGACTCACCATGCAGTGGTCCTACCAATTTAATACTAGAGGTTTCAGGCAAGGGTGGAGAGAAAGAAGATAATTCCTTTCATTCTAGTACTAAACTGTCAAAGCCTTATCATTTTTCTATTCTGAACTTAGCATGGATTATAAATCTCTACTCCAGGAAATAGAGCAGGCCCAGAGATGGTGGGACACCCAGAGGCAAGGTCAGGAGTGGGGGGCAGAATGTCATTTGTACTCTATCATCTTCCATGCAAAATGGCTTATACCTCTCCATTCAGAATCCACCAAGCCATTCAGGTCATTGCAGGAGCTACAAGCTCAAAAGGCAACATAGTCAGGCAAACAACTTCAATGTCAAGGGTCTGACAGCTAAAGGAGTAAGGGCAAAATTGGAGAATGAAAGCCTTTCTGTGCCTCTGAGAACAAGTCGAATGGATGAGACGAGAGAGCCGGACATCACCTACTTCCCTGTGTTGGTTTGCTTGTTCCTCAGTCAGGGCCTCATGCTCAGACCACCAGATCTGAGACTTTCACCAGATGGACTGTTTCTCTTTTCAAACTTATTTTTAGGGTGAAAAAAATTCTACTGGGTAGAGATGAGTGGCCTCCAAAAGGTTTTATTTCCTTTCTGAGTCAGGTTCAGCCTCACTGGGTTCAGCTTTCAATTTCTGTAGCCTCACTGGTCCCTAACTAAGCGTTCTGAGGTATTGTCCTTCTATTTCAAGAGCCCCCAAAATTAAGCTGAGTGACTACAGATAAGTTTTTGGTACTTTCCAAAATTAAACTATTTCCTTTGGTAAATTTCCAGCAAATGAGCTCATTAATCTGAAAACAGGATGTGGCACATGAAGAGAGTGAGGTCAGATTGCCTGCTCTTTTCACTTACACTGGCATAGGGCAGAGAGGAAGGGGTGTGGGGGAGAGAGGTGAGACCAGAGGATGGCTTTTACAGACCCTAAATCCTTGAGAAACTTCACTTCATGGATTGGACTGAGATGTAATGAATTTTTAAATTAGACACTTAAGAAAGTTTTTGAATCCTTTTCTCTTAGAATTAAAAGGCCCCATAGGGGGCCACCTCTGGTCAACCACCCACAGATTACAGAAATTCCCTCTTAGAGGGTCCTGAGACTCCCTGCTCAGCAAGGGAGTAGACTCAAGCAGGCAGATTCCATGCTCCTCCTTTCACCAGCAGGACACTCTGTCCTGCAGCATCAGCCTGTCCACCAGAGGCTGGAGGACAGCAGCTCCACCTCCAACAGGTAAGAGACTTATATAAAGCCCAGGTTAAAAAGCAACATAAACAAAAGAAGTAAAAGATAGTTCGCTGGTCTTAGCATCCAGTTGGGAGTCAAGACATAAAGAGGAACACATAATATGTACATACATAAAGAGAATTTAATGGGTGCCTTTGGGTAGTTAAAATAAAAACAAGGCAGCCAGCCTCACTCCTCCTACAAGTATAAAAGGCCTGGGCCAGCACAGTGGATCTCACTTGTAATCCCAGCGCTCTGGGAGGTGGAGGCAGGTGTATTGCTTGAGCTCAGGAGATTGAGACCAGCCTGAGCAAGAGCAAGACCCTTGTCTCTACTAAGAACAAAAACAAAGAACTAGCCAGGCATTGTGGTGGGCACCTATAGTTCTGGCTACTTGGGAAGCTGAGGCAAGAGGATGTCTTGAGCCCAGGAATTTGAGGTTGCTGTGAGCTATGACTACAGGCGTTCTACCCAGGTGACAGAGTGAGATTATCTCAAAAAAGAAAAAAGAAAAAAGAAAGAAGTACATAAGTCCTGATGGAGAAGGAGCTTTTATCAAATTGGTAGCTTGCAAAATTAAAGGTTGTAGCTTTTAAACGAAAATGCTACCTCAGAACGGATTCATAGGGAACAGTGGCCCTGTGTGTGTTTAGACCAAAACAGAAACGGTTACTGGCGGCACTGAGTTTTGTAAGAGCACAGTACCTGGAACTGCTTAGTACCATCTCTTCACTGACGGATGGCGTTAAAGTGTGGACATGCCAGACACTGTGCCGGGCCTTTTGCAGAGATCAAGGAAGCTAAGACTCAGATTTTACTAATTTTAACCTCATCCTCTATCTAGTTTTCGGGTTTCGGGAAGGCAGAGGACCAAGGTTTGCGCTTCTCTGCTCAGGGAGCATTTATTGAGCACCGGGCATGTGCAGACGGTGCACGAGGTGCAGGGGGGCAGGGCGGACAGAAGGTGTCTGGGGGAGAGGGAGGCACGGCCTGCGAAGACGGAAACAGGGCTCACAGCCTCAATTTCCCCTTGAGAGGCGCGCTCGCCCGGACCCAGCTGCAGCCTCCGGAGCAGGTCCCCTAGCTCGGGTCCCAGCCTTGCTTTCCCCGCTTCCGCCGCAGGCTGCACCCCAGCGCCCCACCGGAAGCTCCCGGCCGAGCGGCGGAGGCGACAGAGGCGGCGCGGAGGTTGGTCGCCCTGCCCCCAGCGCAGCCTAGCTCTCCCGCCGGCCCCGGACGCCCCGGCTCCTGCGCACTCAGCCGGGGCTCCCCCAGTGCCGGCCGCGCTGGCACCGCCTGGGCCCTTCCTGCGGGCGCTCCTCCTGAGCAAGGGCAGCCGCTCCGCCCTGCTCCCAACGTTGCGCTCGCCACTGGAGAGGTGGCGGTGGGGACACGATTGTCCCGTTCTCGGTGGCAGGGTGGAGGGGTACAGACAGGCAACCTAGCGACGTGGAGCCGGGCGGGCACCAGGGATCGCAAAGCCAGGCGCCCAGGCCCGTCGTGGGGGTAGCCCACGGAGGCTTCCCAGGGCAAGTGGGGAGGGACGCAGATGCGTCCCAAATGACAAGTGGGAGGCTGGGAAAATGGGGGCAAGCGGCGCAGAAAGACCCCGCTCGTGTGGACCCTCGTGAGTGGATGGAGCACGGAGATGGGGCCGAGGCAGGTTCAGAGTGGAAGAGAAGAGAGTCAGGGAGATCAGAGATGCCGTGTGAGGGCTTCCTCCCTCCCCTGGGAAAGTGAGGGATTCCGGAAGGAAGGGCTGAGAGCCGGGTCAAGTGCTGGCCAGAGGGCTGGTTGGATAGAAACTGGGGCAGGCCCAGGGCGTTTAGCAACCTCTACATTTATCACCCAGGGGAGATGGTTTCCTGGAGATTCAAGTGCTTGTGTAGGCGATCTTTTCTAGAAAATCCACTGCTTAGTGAGGTGAAAGGAATTTGAGATGAGGGTGAAAAGCGTTTTAAAGCGTGTGTGTTTAGAGCACAGGCTCTGGGATCAGGAGTCCCCACCGAATAGCTATAACCTTAAATACCTTGCCTCATTTCTCTCATCTGTAAAAAGGAGATGATGATGGTAGTATCATGGGATTCGTGTGAAAATTAGGTGAGATGATGTCTGTAAAATTAACAGCACTAAAAAGTAGTGTCAATTATTTTCCTCTTTTATTATTAGAGCTACTTGGGCATATTTTGATGCTGATGGGAAGGGGCAGGTAGAGAGGAAGGGGTAGGGGAGAGAAAAGAGACCAGGACAAAAGGGACAGAGGATGGGGGATAAGCCTTGGGTTCCTCTTCTATCCCAAATCAGGGGGAGGAGGAAACAGGTGGGGATGCGGGAAAGTTTACAGGTTTGGGGTGTACAGTTTAAGGGAGTGACCTTCTGATGGGGTTGAAGTAGTCCTGGAGGTTTGCTGTAAGGGTGGAGTTCCCTATTTATACTACTGCCTCTTAGCTGGCAGCCCTGGTGGCATGCCAGGAAAGGTGGGCAGTTGAATTTATCTAGGGTTAGATGACAATGTCTGACTTTCCCTGTCAAAGTTGATAGATGTGAAAACACTGTATAAGCATAACTTACCACTTTAATCCTTTGCCCTGATTTTGAGGCGCTGGAAGGGCTGTGGCCATCACCTGAGTAAAATGTGAAAGCCTTTGGAGCACTTCACATGGGCTATACAACATGCCACACCTTCACCTACAATCTCATTAAGTCATCACAGCAGCTGGATGAAGTAGGTATTACTGTCCGTTGTACAAAGCAGGAACCGAAAGGACCATTGGGAAGGGAAGGATCCCATGTCCCAGGACCCACGGCTAGTAAATGGCAGACCCAGGGCCCTAACTCAGATCTGTCTGCCTTCAAAACAATTTCATGATTTGAAACCACTGTGAAAGTTTACAAAGCTCCCAGTTGCAGTCCCGGGATAAGCTGGCTGCTGTGATCTCCATCCCATCTCAGGCTCTACCCGCTCCCCTGGGTCTCTCTTGTGTGGATGGAAGAACACAGAGCTTGGACCTGCACAGCCCTGGTATGAATCTCTCTCCTGGTATGAACTCCCTCTAGGAGCTATGTGACTTCCAGCTAGGCTTTTTACTTCTTTGACTCTACATATGGCTGCAGAATTCCTGAAAGGTGGTCATAAGGCTTTGGAGGGAAAACATTGCCTGGCACACAGCAGACGTGCCAAGAGCCATTGTTCCTGCAGTTCACTTTTCCTGTAAATGTGGATCTGTGTCACCCTTCACTGCTGAGACCAGCTGCCGTGGTCTTCCTTGCATTTGTTCAGTGCTTTGTTCTCCTCAGGGCAGGGAGGTGGTATAGCGCCTGCGAACATGTAGCCATCTATGACTTCCTGAGTGGGGTGTTGGGGGAGGGCTCTGAGGAGTCTGTGGTCCTGAGGTCTTGGACTTCAAAAGGAGGGGAGGGCCCTGTGTCATCACCATGACTGATGCGGAATGCCACTGGGAGTCGGTCATCGCAGGCCTTCCTGCTGCCTCTGGTTGCCTCGGCCATTGGGTCCCGCAATCTCACACCTGTTACAACTTCTTTTTCTACAGATGGGGTAATTGGGATCCACTGTGAGGAAGTGACTTTCACCTGAGGTCACCTAGACTCTGCACAAGGCCTAGAACTTGAATTTCCAGACCTGTTTTCAGGACCCTGGGGATTTCTACCAGGAAGGTGAGCACCACCACTGAGAGCTCTAGGCTGCAAGGAGGTGTTGGAGAACATAGGCGGTGGCCAGCATTGTCCTTCTCCTCTGATGTGCCCAGGGAGGAGGTGGAGGAAACCAGTGGCAGCCTCTGATTCTCAGACAGGGGAACTCTAGCTGTGGTTCCTGAAAGTCTGTGACACAGTTGTTTTTCTCTGACTGGCTTTCTCGCTTCTTCTCACTTTAAAAAATGATTGGACACTCCTAAAGCCTTCAGTCACCATCCTGGGGATTTCTGTCACCACACGGGTAATTCCTGCCTCATCCCTTCTGTGACTCAGCTGTGACGTTGAACCATACAAGCCAGAGACAAGAAGATAAAATCATCAGAGAGTCCTGCTCAGGCCCAAGCCAGAACTCACCTCTCCTCTTGTCACAGGCTCCACGAGGCTGGTCCCTGCCCTGGAAGAGCTCAGCCAGACCCTCTGGCCAGCCTGGGATCCCAAGATGGCCTCCAGCTCAGCCAGCAGCCCCCGCCCAGCCCCTGATGAGAATGAGTTTCCCTTTGGGTGTCCCCCTACCGTCTGCCAGGACCCAACAGAGCCCAAGGCTCTCTGCTGCACAGCTTGTCTCTCTGAGAACCTGAGGTGAGGGGATGGGAAGGCAGTGTGAGGGTGGGGAGCATGGGAGGAGGGCCCAAATGGGAGGTGAGGATAAGGAAAGTCAACTTTGGGAGGCAGGTGACTTCCCCTCTCTGGACTCAGTTTCCACTCCTTGCCACTTTCCTCACACTCCTTGCCACTGCCTCCCTGGCTGTTGGTAGAAGTAGAAATAGCCACAGAAGGATGTCAGCTCCCACAGCAGGCCAGCCACACCAAGGGAGGGCCTTTAGGCCCAGCGAGGCTGTTTGCTTACTATGTGGCCTAGTGCAAACTGCTAATGTCTGAAGCCACAACTGTAGTGTCTATAAAGCTATTTTCTCCCTTTCAGAATTGTTAGGAGACCCACTTAGTAGTAATCAAAAAATTTCATATGTTAACAAATAGAAACCCTCGGTAAACAACAGTTATACAAATATATCTCCTTCCACAATACTGTCCATCACCTTGTACTGTTTGCTGGGAACCCTTTTAAAGGGGATGAAGGTAGATAAATAGCTATAGACAAGATATTTGTGTATTTATTTATATTTAAAGTATTAATAACCCAGAAAGGTATAACATCAATACTATCATTAGCATCCCTCTTGAGTAATCGGAGTAATCTCAGAACACCCTGGAGAGGTAGATATCATTATTATTCTAGTAAAGAGATGAGGTCACCTTGCCCCAGACCAGTTTCCTGGCAAATATGTCCTTATACTGCCGCTCACGCAAGTGACCTTTTGTTTGGGGTTTTACAGCTTAAGAAAGTGGAAAAACTGAGGCAAGAGAGAAGTTCCAATGTAGGAGACAAAAGGGGGATGTGAGAAGAGGGGGTAGAGGTCATGAGAGTGGAAAGCTACCTGGGGGGTGCGGGTGGAGGAGCAAAACTTGACTGGCTTTGCCATCAAGCTGATCACTGGGGCTTCACCTCAGGCTTTAGTGGCCGGTCTCCTTGCTTCCCTCCATTCTTCTACAATCTAGAAGAGGAGGGTGGAGAGGGAGCTGACCGGAGGTGTATCTGGGCCACCCCATATGCCCTCCAGGTCCTCATTTCCCTCACCTGTAAAATGGTCTAGGTCAGTAGCTCTCACTGTGGATCAGAATCACTTAGGAGATTTGTAAAAACACAGGTGCCCATGTGTCATCCCAGTCAGAATCTGACACCCACTCTCGACTAGGAACCTCCAGTCTAGATGCTACTGAGGCTCCTGTGCTAATAGGCCAGGGTCATCTGTAATTACTAAAGAATAAGAGACCAAAACCACATAGAGGATCCTGAGAGGAACAAACAGAGTTACACATCCACAGTCTCTCACCTAAACCCTTGGGGTCAGATGTGTTTGAGAATTCAGACTTTTTAAAGAACAGAAAATCAGTGTACTATGTAATTCTTCTAGCAGGGGTGGGGTAGCATCCTATAATCAAGCACATTAATGTTTCTGCAATGAAACCTATAAACATTCACACGAAGGAGAGGCAAGCAAGGGCTATAATAGCTTCCTGTCAGTTCAGGCCGGGTCTGGCTGCCAAAGAAGCTGCCTATAAACTTAAGAAAAATGTGGGATGCTCAGTGCTTTCGGAGGTTTGGGAATGGTGACTCCGGGATGGTGAACCCACATGATCAGTGATAACAGCTGCCACACTGGGCAAGCTCTAGGCTTCTGGAGCTGTCAGGAGAGTGGGTGGTGCCAGGGCATTGCAGTGCCTCACTCGGGGATTTGTTCATGTTTTCTCAGGAACTGTGAAGATCAGATCTGCCCCAAATGCAGAGGGGATGACGTCCGCTCTGTAAGCCCAGGAAAACTTCTGACTCAGGAGAAGGTACGTTGGCACAGCCAGGAAAGTGTACGTGTCCATTTTCTTGTTTTCTAGGTTGAGGCCAAGAAGGCAGTTACCCACTTGGCCTCTGGCAGGCACTTCCCTCCTTGAGTTGGGACTGAATTTGCTGTATAGGCAGTGAAGAGACTGATGTTCATAGTGGTGAAACATCTTGCCCAAAGCCACCCAGCCAGTCTGTGATAGCTTTAGGATAAAAACAGTCTGGACCAGGGGTCCACAAACTATAGCTCTTGTGCCAAATCTGACTCACGACCTGTTTTTGTATATCCTATGCACCAAGAAGAGTTTTTATACTGTTTAATGATTGAAAAAAAA